AGAACAGATGAATTAATATATGTATTCCGAATTCAGTCATATCAGAGAATAAGGACATCATCCAATTCATACAAGAAGTCAGAAAACAATAGTCAACACCATATCTCGAAACTTCATCCCGCGTATAAACAGGTATGGAAGGAGCCCATAGATTCTCCTTCAGCCAGTGACAGATATCCAGTCCCACACCGCGCCTCCTTTCCGGAAAACCCATACAAAAAAGAAAGAAGTCATAACATGCATGCGTGCAGATCAATCATTCATCGCCCCGTAATGTAGTCCTTGTTTTCGATCGTCACACTCTTCGTCATGTGGTTGACCTTGTAAACACCGACCAGTCGAGAGGCAAGTTCGAACTATTGTTGAGAGTCAGTAACGCGCTGCTGTAGCATCTATGGCGAGTGTCTTACCATGTTGTTTCTCAGAGAAATAACGATAAACTGGGCATTCTTAGTTCTCTCCTTGATATAGGATGCCACAATTGAAACCTAGGCAGATTAGCAACGCACTTTTACTAGCTGGGATAGAGCACTCACGTTCCGGAAGTCCAGGGCAGCATCAATCTCGTCCATCACGTACAAGGGAGTCGGCTTGTAGTGATGCAAGGCGAATACTAGCGCCAAACTGGAGAGCGTCTTTTCACCACCGGACAGATTACCAATGTTCTTCCAGCTCTTCTTCGGAGGCATGACGGAGAACAAGATACCCTCAGAGAACGGATCCAAAGAGTCGACCAATTCCAGCTCCGCGTTACCTCCCATCGTAATCATCTGGTACATCTCCTTCAGACGAAGCGAGATAATGCCGAATCCTTCCATGAACCCGTTCAGACGAGCAGATCGGAGGCCATCAAGACGGGCCTTGGCACTGTCGCGCGATGCCAGGGCAGTAGTCAGATCGGCCGAACGTGCTTCGTGTTCAGCCGTTCTGCGCCTGTACTCCTCGATGACACTAAGGTCGACAGATGCATTCTGGCTCTTCTCCTCGAGCGCAGCAATGGCTGCCTTCAATGACTCCTTGTTCATCTCCATCAACTCATCTTGAGTGAACATCTGGAGCTCTGTGGCCTCCTGCTCTTCACCCAGATCGCTGACGTTCTGCAACGAAAGCTTGGATAACTTTTCTTGCCAGTACCGTCCGCGCTTTTCGTTCTCGGCCAAGGCTTTCTGGTTCTCCTCAAGCTTATTGCGCATCTCGATCTCGGTGGCTCGGGACTCGTTCAATTCAGCAACCTTTTCATCCAACTCAGCCTTCACCTTGCCGAGCTCCTCTTTCTTTTCGTCGAGAGCCTGTCTTGTGTGAGCCTGTGAATCTGATACATTGCCATGTCGGACTTACCTCTTCCGCTTCCTCCACCTTCTGTTTCCACCCCGAGGCATCGTTGGCCTGGTTGGCAACATCAGCATTGAGCTTCTCGAGCTCCTCTGTCACATGCTCAAGTTCCTTCTCTGCGTCAGCACGGGAATTCTGGTGCTTGACGATGGCCTTCTCGTTCTTTGACTTTCCAACTTCTGCATTGGAAATCTCCTCTGCAAGAAGGCTGATCTGCTCCTTGAGACCATCGACCTTGGCCTTCTGACCACGTAGTCTAACACCACCAACTTCCATGATCTTATTCTGGAGAGTCTGGATCTCTTCCTCGATGCCGCCCTTTTGTTCACGAAGGTCTTCGATTTCTTCCTCCAGAGCAGCAATCTGTTTCTCTAGAGCTGCAGCTTGGTTCGCGTCTGTCTTTGATGGCTTGTGCTCGGCGCTCAGTTCCTTGACGCGCCGCTGGGCGTCTGCGAGACTTCTGTTGGCACTTTCGATCTCAATCATGATCTTCTGAATTTTGGTCTCCGCCCGTGGTATCTCCTCGGACCTCTCTCTGATCGCTGCCTCCATTTGCCGTTGCTTCTCCAGGAAGCGCTGGAATTTCCTCTCCATTTCTTCCAAATCCCCCTCGAGCTGAGCAACTTGCTCTCTGCTTGTCTCTGCCACTTGCTTGGAGGACATGCCGCCACGTGCTACGCGGGTACCACCACCACTCATAGTACCAGACATGTCAATAAGTTGACCGTCAAGGGTAACGACCCTCCACCGTCTGGCTCCATAGGCAATGCGGTTGGCTTGCTCGAGGTCTTTAGCAACCAAGGTGTTCTGCATGACACTGTAGAATGCGGGGGCAAACTTGGAGTCTTTAGGCTTAACCAAATCAAAAAGGCGAGGGACCTTCTCCGGAGTTGCGATGGAGGACAGATCCCGCCGTGGGAGTCGATCCAGAAGAATGAAGTTGGCTCGGCCGAGATTGTTCTTACGCAGGTAGTCAATACACTGCTGACCGACCTCAACCGTATCAACTACCATGTTATCCAGCGCTGGACAGGCAGTCGAGATAGCGACATCATATTTCTCGTCGATAGTTCCGAGGTTGCCGAGCCGGCCGTGGAAGCCTTCAATACGGCCCGACTCCTTGAGACGCATAAGCCCAGATAGAACGCTTCCGCGATTTTGAGTGCTCGCAAGACTGGCCCTTGCCTCGTCTGCCTTCTGTCGAGCACTCGAGACATGGGCTCGCACTTCGGGCTCTCTGTGGGCATACTTCTTGAGGTCATGCTTGAGCTTCTCGACCTCTTGTTCAAGTGTCGACTTCTGCTCCTTGCGTTCCTCAAGCTCGGTCTCCTTGGTAGCCAAGCCCTCTTCGATTGATGCCACCTTGGCCTGAGCCTCTTCCAACAGGACAGCACCCGCGTTGCTTCTCTCACGGATGATGTCAAGTTGACTCTGAGCCACAGCAACTGCCGAGAGCTTCTTGTTGATCTTCTCATCCCAAGGCTCCAATGACTTTTGCTTTGCCGTAATTTGGTCCGAGAGGCCCTGGGTTTTGCCTTTGAGGCTCTCACGGATCGAGTTCAGTTCCTCCTCCTCCACCTTCATCTCCTTCTCAAGCTGTGTAGTCTCCTTCGATTTCCTTTCAATGTCGTCCGCATGCTTTTGCACCAAACTTTCACACTCAGAGGCAGCCAGTCGAGTACTCTGCATGGCCTTTTCCAGCTTCTTCTGCTTTCCAACCAGGAATTTCTTCTTCTCTTCAAACTTGACGGATTCCTTGTCGTACTTAGCCATTTCCTTGGCCAAGGCCTGCATCTCCTTTTCCATGCTCTCATATTCCCGCATGCCACGCTTGTACGCCTTTTCGAGCTCTTTGATACCGGACTCGTTGCCCTCGTGCTTCTCTAGCTCGAGGTTCAAAAGCTCTTGCATCTGCAGGATAGCTTCCTCGGTCACTCGGATGTTGTCTCCGCACTCATTGATGTAAATCTGGTAAAGTGCAGACTGTTTCTGAGCCAGCTCATTCTCGTCACGGATGAAGGCGAGTGCCTTGTCCTTTTTGTCTTCTAAGGCGTTCTTCTCCTTCTCTACATGCTGTACACGGTTGTTCTTTTCCATACAGACGTCGTTCAGCGTCTCCAGCTCAGCGGCTGCTTCGTCGATGGGCGTCTTGTATTTAGAGGTTCCAATAATATCTTCGAGGTACTCCAGGAGACCATCTTCATGTTCATTGGCAGCCTTGGCCTTCATCTGTGCGATTGACTCGACTTCACCTTGGAGAATAAGGAAACGCTTGTGGTCCAGGTCAATGCCGCGGTCGCGGAGCAGAGTGGTCACGGCGGTAAAGTTCGTCTCCTTGCCGTTCATGTAGTACTTGCTGCTGTTGTTTCTAAATGCCTTTCGGGAGATAATCAGTTGGGAATCTGGGACTACTTCATGCCCTCCGGTGGGCAAGTCAAGGACTTCCTGGAAGTGGACTTCGACTTCACAGTAGGGCAAGTTGGGGAAGTTGGCGGAATTGTGAATGAGAGCGGAAACCTTGCCCTGTCGCATCTTGCTGGCTCGGAAACCGAAGACAAAGAGCAACGCATCGATGACATTGGACTTTCCGGATCCGTTTGGTCCAACAACCGACGAGAAAGAGGCATGGAAGGGCCCGACGATCTGCTTCCCTGCGTAACTCTTGAAATTCATCAAAATTAGTGTAGTAATAATCAAGCGGCTCTTAGGTTCGGATGGCTCCTCGGGTGCTGAGGGGCCCAGCAACCGAGACTTCATCATGATATCCATCGGCTTTTCGAGAACGGTCGTATTGGGGTTGATCATGGCGATTTGGGGCTTTTCCTCGCTTTCGGACTTCGCGGGCGTCTGGTTCACAGCCGATTCAGTGATATCAGCGAGTGGGGGTACACTGCCCCTCTGCGATCGGAGTTGGGACGGGGGCGGCGAGACGGAGGGCTCTGGAGTAGGGAGTAAGGACATTTCCGGGTTGGGCGTGTGGGAGACACGACTCTTGCGGGGGTGGGCCATACTGGTTATTTTCTTTACCGACGCTGTGACCTGTGAGGCAGTCTCGGGCTCTTCCACTGACGCGACGCTGTCGCCTTCATTGTCGTTGGTATCTGTGAGTTGCGACGCCTCCGACAATTCTGCGGTTGCCGATCTGCGAGACCTCCGTGTAGTGCGCGTGGCCTTGGGTGTAGTCTGATCAACGGTGGCTCGCCTGCGCGAGGACCTCTTTTCAATTCTGGGTTTCTTGGGAACAGGCGTGGCTTCGCCGCTATCGTCGTCGTCTTCGTCGTGCTGAGATGCCGTGGGGGTGACATTTCCGGGATCCTCCTCTTCGGAGGTTTCTTCGATAGCATAGCTCCGCCGGGCGGCGGCAGAGCGCCTAGTTGGGCGGCTTCTTGCGATGGATGACATTATTTTGGATGAGTCGTCGTCGTCGCCAGAGACGGCTTCATCAAGGCGAATGTTGAAGCGGGCGCAGTTGCAAAGTTGCGGGCGGAAGTGGAAAGTGGGTTGTTTACATTGTGTCCCCATCGGGAATGGCGTTGTTTTCTGCCACAACATGTGCGTCTTTGGACTGTCTGCTTCACCGCCCACCTGCCACGGCGGCCCATACAATTCACCGCGAGTAAATAATCAGCGCTGTATCGGAATTGTTCTACGGACATATCTCTGACAAAATGGCTCCTTGGGACGATTTCGACTCTATCTTCTATTTCAACAAGAACTTTACCTACGATGGCAAGGTCATTGAGCAGATCGTCGCCAACCGCCGTGCGCTTGAAAACCAGCTGTTCGCCGACAGACTGCTAGGATTGCTCGGAGTTAAAGCAGGTATTCTCTCCTCTCATCCAGCTCTGAAGTGAAGGTCGTTGTTAATTAGGAGCAACCTCTAGTCACGCAACTTTACCCTCCCAGATCCAATGCAGACCTCCGGACTCTTGTCGGACATATACTTTCCTCCCCCATGGACATAGAGCACAAGCAAGCGTTGATCTACTATATCCTGAAAGATTGCCGTGCCGCCAGCGATGCGGCTTCCCAGTTTTCGCGCCGGTGTCATTTGCCGGAGAAGTACAGGCTGTTCATAGAAGGACTGTGGAACCTTGATAGGCTTGAATTCAAGGTGCGTCTCTGCCTTGACGCAGTTTGCGACGGTTACTGACCCAGAATGCGCCGATAGCGAGCCGTAGAATATCTGACCGAGCCTTCTATCATTCCAACTTTCCCGGATGAAATCCTCTATGTCCTTACTCTTCCTCGGCTTCCCAAGCACGATGACAGCCTCGTAATGGCATACTACCTTACTGTTTCCCCGCCTTTGGCATCGGAGAAGGTCCAGCGAGCCTTCTTCAAGACGCTCTGTCGGTCAAGCATTACGGAGGCCTTCTACTTCACCCGCAAGAACGACGACACTCTACGTCGAAGCTACCTTACACAGCTCATTGAGTTCGTGCACACAACCGACGCTGGCCAACTTCGGAGCAGTCGCGCGCTGGAACTGATCGGCCTTCCATTCGACGATCAAGAAGAGGAATGGTTCGAGGATGCTCTGCTTCACGGTAGTGCAAAGGGTCTCCATGGCTCCAAGGACACAGTCATGATGCGCCGCCTTGCAAGTGGCAAGTTGAGTGGACTGGCCCAGGAGCTTGAGTCCCTCGGTGGGGAGAAGATTGACGGACTGAACTGGGATGTCCTGAGGCAGAGCGTCACACATACACAGACTTCTCACTCCAGCGGTGGACAAGCGTGACACGAACTTGATATTATGGGAAATGGCTCGGAGAATAGGAGTTGACATCGGATCCATTGTAATTTTATGAAGCATTGGCATTGAACAGGCGACGGTTGCTATTGATGATTTAACAAGGCCGAAAATATAACCACCAGTATACCCCGACCTAGTGTCTTTTATGGTGTTATTTGCAGCCTGTAGAAGAGTAAATGAATAAATTAGAATGTTACAGACAAATTGTCTCTCGGCTCTTGATAGCTCCGCGGGCAGGAACATGTGTAAATTACAATACCATGTCCATACACTATGCATGGATTTCCGGCCAATACTACAGCCTGAGGCGGCGAAATGTACTGTCACCGGATCAATCCAACCACCACCGGCCATCCGCAGATTCTCTCTAGTTATACACCGCGACCAGCTGCGCGCGCTTCGGTTTCTGATATTACTTAAGAGTCTACTTATTCGTCACATCTTTCTCTAACAATTGATCAAATAGATAGCTTCAATTCGTGGGTTTCTGACTTTCGATTGAGCTCTTATCATCACCGTCAGACGGTCAGCAGGGGCCTCTCGTACTGTCCGACGCCGCAAAGGCCCAATACGACATGGTTGTCTGCACGTACTTTCAGCAGGGGCGCTGCAGATTTGGAGGTACGAAGATACCTTGCCCCAAAGATCAGAGTTTTGCTCTTGTTCCGGTCTGGACAGTGGACTAACAATCATTCCAGACCGTTGTAAGAATGAGCACCCCAGCCAGCAGACATTGAGCTCCGGCAACCGTTTCGGGGCACTTGCTGGGGGAGGTTTCGGAGGTACGTTTAGTGTTTGCTGTTGGAGACAACACAACACAGCATGCTCTGTCTGTTGAATGGGCTGTAAAGCCATTATGTGTGCCGACTTTATTGGTCTACTCTGAACTATATTATCATTGTCATTTGTTCTCTTCAAGAGCAGTCACCGCATTATGCATGTGTGACATGGTTCACGATTTGTTGCTTCCACCATGTGTTGTGAGATTTCCTAACTTCAAACATAGGCCGTGGCGCCCAGACTCAGCAATCTGCAGAGTAAGTTGTTCTTCAGTCAAGCTATTTTACATGGGACCTTTCTGACACCCCACAGCTATGGAATCACTACGGCGGACATCAAGGCCGATCTTACCGCCGGTAAAGGCCGGCCAGAATGGGTTTTTTCCTGCTACGGTCCCGGCAGAAACGCCCCAAGGCAATTATTTGGAGGCGCTAATCGAGAGCGGAGTTTTGAAGAACTGCGACTGCGCCATTATGAAGCTGCCGCAGCAGGCAACGCCGACCAGGCAGTCCAAGAAGCTCAAGCTCTGTATGGGGAGGCATTGAAGCAGATGGATGTCATCCTGAATGATCTAAACGGTGCTGTGAAGTATGTCGTCGACGGTATCAATGAACATCCCAACAGAATTGATATCGTGGAGGGCAAGACCGGCCCTGCTTCCACCCCAGCACCTTCTGCTTTCGGTCAGCCCTCGCAACCTAGCCAACCTTCACCATTCGGGCAACCCGCTGCTCCCAGCTCAGCACCGGCTTTTGGTCAGCCTTCAGGATTAGGCAGTCAACCCTTTGGCAAGCCATCTGCGTTCGGTCAGCCGTCAGCCTTCGGGCAGCCCTCGGCCTTGGGCCAAACATCTGGCCTGGGGCAAGCACCTGGCTTCGGACAACCTAGTGCTTTAGGTCAAGGGTCTGCATTTGGACAGCCCTCAGGCTTGGGAGGAGGGCAGTCGGCATTCGGTAAACCAGCCTTTGGCCAGCCTAGCTTTGGTCAGCCTTCTACCGGCCAGTCTTCGTTCGGCCAGCCATCATCACTCGGAACATCGGCATTCGGGACACCTGCTGCGGCCTCCCCATTTAGTCAGATATCAGCTCCTAGCCAGCAACCAAGCGGCTTTGGTCAGTCCGCCGGACAAGCATCACCGTTCGCACAGGTCGGGAGTCAAACCCCCGCCGCGTCTTCTGGCTTCGGTCAACCCTCGACAACACAGCCTGCTGGTTTCGGCCAACCGTCACAGACAGCTTCGCCTTTTGGTCAACCACAACAACAACAACCGGCCTCAAACCCGTTTGGACAACCCTCCACGGCCGCAGCTCCGAGTCCCTTCGGGGCTCCAAGCCAGCCAGCTGCATCTTCAGGATTTGGACAGCCCGCTAGCGGATTTGGACAGTTAGGCCAATCAGCGCCTGCTCCCGCTCTTGCATCCACGCCAACAGCTACCGCAGGAACCGGCCCTCCTGCCATCATCAAGATAGACAACCCGAATGAGCTACACCCCATCCCACCGCTGACAGGTCAGACCATCCGCGACCCTATGACCAAGAGGCTCTCAGCCTGGAAGGGGCAACCCGTCAAGTACATCAACAACGAACCCTGCTATTTACATCCGCAGGATCGTCAGACCTACGTCCGCATCTTCTTTCCAGATGGACCCCCTGATGCAGCCAGCTTACGGGACGCACATGGCAAAGACGAGGAGTATACAGCTGAGGTCACTGCGCAGTACGAGTTCTTCGTGCAAAACGGATGCTTCAAGGACGGAGTGATTCCGAGCGTGCCCCCGAAGACGGAATGGGTGAGCTTCGACTTTTAGCCAATCCAGGCTCTTGGGCTTTCTTTTACATGGTTTACTTGGGCATTGTATTATATAGATCATTAGCATTATTAACGGACGGAATGGGCGTCCAGGCTGGAAATTCTGACACGGAACAACGGAAGCAGTTAAGTCACTGCTAGTTTTGATACCAATACACTACACTACAATCCATACAATCATTCACTCCGATAAGGGAAATAGTTTACTGCTTTTTGAACTTTTTCATTTTCAAGCCAGGAACTGGCGGGTATCGACGAATGCCTAGCACGGCCGCAGCAGCACCACAAAACATAACCTCATCGTCCGCGCCACCCCTGTCACGAACCCAAACCGTATCCAGTGAAGGAAGAGGTAGGGATTTGTTTAAGCAGCAATGGTGACCTCAACCTCAACACCAGCCTCGATGTTGATGATGATCTGCTTGACGGTCTCGGTGGGGGCGAGGAGGCTACACATATATTAGTTTTCCATATTCCCTTCGGACACTCATCATGTGCTAGAAATATTGGGACAGGGGGCACTCACTCGATGAGACGCTTGTGGATGCGCATCTCGTACTTGTCCCAGGTCTTGGAACCCTCACCGTTGGGGGTCTTACGGGTGGAGATGTGAAGGGTCTTGGTGGGAAGACGGACGGGACCCTTGACCTGGAGGGACTTGGAGCGAGCACGGTCGATCAGCTCCGAGCACACCTTCTCGAGGGAGGCGACCTTGCGAGAGGTGAGGGTGATACGGATCTTGTGGACCTTCTATATTCCCATCAAAAGAGATGTTGTTAGTGATTTGTCGCATTCATTGATCGATTCATATATAACCCATGTCCCAATGCCATTGGCATTGAAAGACATGTTATATATGTATGGTGGTAGACGTACAGGGCCCTCGCCGAAATCCTTCTCAGGCTTCTGGAAAGACATCTTGAAATGTAGTTTTGAGACGGTGGGGTGACCGGTGGGATTTGAGATGCTGTTGGACCTGGAAGTTAGTTGTCGTCGACGAGAGACAAGAGAGAAAAGAAGTTAGAGAGGGGCAGGGCATACCGCAAGGGAGGCTGGACTGCCAATCAAGACCTGAACTATCGGGGTTCGGTAAGGTGATGATGGCCGTTGAGGAGAGAGTCTGGATGGTTTGCCGGGCGGAATAACAATTATCGTGCAACTTTTTTTTTGTTCAATTTTTATTCATCCGTTCTTTCTTGCTTGTGCGGGTGGAGGGCTTGGCGCTCGGCTAAGTAGCTGGTTCGGGAGCTAGTGGCTCGTTGTGGTTAGTTGATTTTGGGTTTGGGAGGGCGGTGAGTCAGCGGGATTGGGGAGGCTCGGTTTGGATGGTTTAACTATGTTGGAACTAGATAGTCCGTACTGTACTCCGTAGATGGAGATATGGTGGTGAGGGAAACTAGCGTAATGTCTAGTTTGGCTATTAAGTATCTAAATAATAACATTCTTTTATTTGCGTTAACTTTCGTATCTGATCCATCATTAAGATGTACCTAGTAGGGTGGGATAGAAGAGTGCCGGAAATGTACAATAGCTAGTCAGGTTCTAGTCCTCACAGCCCAACAAAGGTGACTAGGACGAAGATGATGATGGTGTATTTAGTCTAGTATGTTTCAAGTGTGGTAGGTGTTTATTTCTGTTGGCATGATAGCTTACCTTGATGGTGATTGCATACATGGGATAAATCATGATCGAGTATAACTCCCACATACACTGGGAATATAAGGCACAAGTACAAGCTTATTCTGATATTCATGTAATATATAATGCATTCTATAGACCAATAAATCACAGACCGGGGCATTAACTCATTAGGCACTGCGAGGCAGTCAAAAGGCATCAGTCATATCCGGACCATCACCAGAAAGACTATATAGTGCTGTGGGGTAGGGGTGGGGTGGCGTAGCGTAGCGTAGAGTGGGACTATTTACAACAGGGATCTGGGGGATAGTACATGTTTGATAAAGTGACAGAAGGGATGCATCTAGCGTGGTCGCTGACTCGCATAGATAATCTTCAATGGCTTTAATGATGATCCGAGAACACACCATTCTCCGCACACGATTTCCTGCACTCCTCGAGAATGCGGACCTGCTTTGCGACGTCGCCGAGTTTGCCAATTACCTCTTTGTTACCATCGTAGAAGGTGAAGATGGTATAAGGGATGCCAGTGTCGCGGCAAAAGTCGAGCACCAGGCGCTGGGTCCGACGTAGGTTGTGCCGCGGAATGCGGGGGTAAAGATGATGGATGGCTTGGAATTGAAGACCCCCGTGGAAGAAGTCGAGCCAGGTCGGGCAGTCAACATCCATGGTGGTGCGGAGCATTCGTTGCGGGAAAGACTCGTTGACTCCCATGTCGGAGGTGGACATGGCGAAGTGAGAAAGGGTGATCTGCACGTGCAGCGGAGAGGTAACCATGTGAGAGACGAAAAGGAAGGCAAGCCGGCTGCTCCAGTCCGGAATCGAGCGGTACATCACTCCATAGCCAAACCAGATCCAGAAAAAGACCTGACCGCCAATCTCAAACCACCGATGCCACCAGGCGGGACCTTTCTTCGGGGCTTGGCCCGTGAAAAGGTATTCCCAGCTCAGACGATACAGGTTGAAACGTCCAAACAGGAGGATGGGGTAGTAAAGGTAGTTCTGAAAGCGCAAGAGGAAGTTTGCAGCAGCATCGAATTCCATGATGCGGTCGTAGTAGGTGCTGCGAAGGCTGGTAAGGAAGCGATGGGAGACGGCGAAGAATGGCATGTGTTCGATATCGGGGTCGTGTTCGGGGGCGTTCGTCACGATATGGTGGACATTGTGGCTGCGTTTCCACCACCCCAGGCTGAGTCCTCCGAGATAGTCGGCGATAATGATACCAATTACCGTGTCGACGTGGAAGTTGTGCGTAATGCCCATATGGCCAGCATCATGGGCAGTAAACACAAGCTGATGCCAAAAGCATCCAAGGAAGAAACCTGAAGTCGCATACCATCCAATCTGGAGGAAATAGTAGGACAAGGCAGCGAAGAGCGTATATCGGCAGCATTCGATGAAGTACGAGAAGTAGCGACAGTCGTAGAGCCCCTCCGCACGGATCTGCCGGTCCAGATCACGATACCTCTGCTTGATCTTCTCCTGATTGTCCAAATCTAGCGAGGGGTATTTGGCCGTATCGAAGACGAGTTCCTCCTGCGTGCGCGCATCGAGAAAGAAGGGTTTCGGTTGGAACTCTTCGCTTTGGGCGGCCGAGGCTGGGGTTGCGGGCGCAGGCTTCCGCTGGCGAACACCTGACGTGCTATCGACGGCATCAAAGATCGGAGATGGCGGCTGTGACGTTTCTTGACCGGAACTCTCCTGACCAGAGCTCTCCTCATCGGACAAACAATCCTCGGTATACGGACGAAACTTTCCGCCCTGGATGGGTGGCAGGAAGTTCACCCATGGGCCCTCGATGTGACCGATCTGAAAGGACAACATTCGTTGGTGCGCTTCCTTGGAGTGTAACCTATAGAAGAGAAAAGTCGGAGTCAACGGTCTGTTCGCATCCGGGCCTCCCGGGGTTCATGGGGGCTACACACGCATTAATCTCATCGGTGGCATCTTTCCCAACCATGTGCCTAATGGACTTGTCTCCTCCAGGATGGTAGGGAATCCACGCATCGACCCTGAGTACGCGACCGTCGAAGATGATGACATGCTTGCCTTCAGAAATCAGGCCCTCGATATACCTTCGGGACAGAATGGTGTCCTTCCGGGCCGCGGAGGTAGAAGGAGCGGTGACCATGGTACAGTTGCAACAGGTACCTGTGTAATTCCAACCAAGGGATCGGGGACAGGGGATGGTTACAAAGAGGGTGAATGATCAGCCCAAGGGGGCATCGTATAGTGCAAAGACCTAGTAGGGGGGAAGATTAGAGGGGGTAGTGGAATGAGAAGATACAATCCAAAGACCGAGAGAAAGAGACCAGATGGAGGTAGAAGGACAGGATGAAGATGGAACTACTACTAATAGAAAAAGCGGGGACGCGAAGGTGAAACGTGCCGGCGATCGTCACCCGATCCAGCGAGTGTCATTCCACCCACATTTCTGTCTCCGTCTCGCCCATTCATTCCCCGTTCCATCATCATCATCATCATCACCACCACCATCATCATCACTGACTTACTATTATTACTTCTTAGCTTCAATCTCCAGCTTGCTTTCTTCCCCTTATTTTGTTCTTAGTTTATTTCTTCCCCTCCTTTAATTCCCTTCCCACCGCCTCTTCTGCACTTCTCTTCCCCAGACTCCTCCTCTCCTTCCCTTCTCCTCCTTTACCCCCCCCCAAAACCCAAGCTCTGATCCGCGAGTCCCTCCGCCCCCCTCCACCGTCCGTCTTCTTCCCCCCCAGTTCGGTTGTCAGCGTCGTATGATCCAACATGGCCGCCAACCCAGGAGAGGTATAGTCAACTCCCGGTGTGCGCGGCTACACCACGCCTCTATCTAAATCGATAGGGGCAGAAAAGTAGTGTGGATGTTCTGACTCGGTCCGCCTGGTCCTTTCTGACAGGATTCCCTCTCTCCGCTGATCCAAAAATGGCTTGAGTGGGACCAAGTAAGTCCCCTACATTTGTCAGATTCCGATCCGCCCAGCTCGGCTTTCACTCCCCCCCATAGTACTGGTGGTAGTGAAGGTATTGCTGTTGCTCAATGCTCTTACTCATGCGCTTTCCTCATCAACCTTCCACCTTCCGAAGTCTCACTGCTAATGCCCAACCCTATTAGGATGCCTCTACTCGCGGGGAAATTGAGCGGTTGCGCGATGCAGGAGAGCTGGCGGAGTTGCAGCAGCGCCTGCAAAAGAGTACGTGTGGGCTCGAGACATGCTTCATCTGATCTTCTCGTACCGAATTTAGGCTCTTTACGCTCCCCTGCCTGTCATGTCTAATCCGCATAAACTGCAGGAATCCAATTTGGCACCGCTGGTCTCCGGGGTCGCATGGCAGCGGGCTTCTCTTGCATGAACTCTTTGACTGTTATTCAGGCATCGCAGGGTCTGGCGATGTACTTGAAGAAACACCATGGTGATATTGCCTCCTATGGCGTCGTCATTGGCCATGATGCTCGCTACAATTCCGCCAAGTTCGCCGCTCTAGCCGCAAATGCTTTCATCGCACAGAGGATCCCGGTCTGGTTCTACTCCGAGCCTTCTGTTACGCCGACGGTGCCTTTCGGTGTAACCCAACTGCATGCTGCTGCAGGTATCATGGTTACGGCAAGCCATGTAAGGCACCCCTGTCTGTCAATTTAAAGATCATGTGGCTAATCCTGCCCTAGAATCCAGCACAAGATAATGGTAGGTTGCCATGGCTTGCTCCTCGACAGCCGGACCGTATCACTGACGGACGTGGCGAACAGGTTACAAAGTGTCTGGTTGCGCTCATCCAGCCTGTTTTGATTATCACTAACATGCTCCAGCTATTTCAAAAATGGCGCCCAGATCAATACCCCCATGGATGTGGAGATAGCTCGATCTATCGAGGAGAATCTGACACCCTGGCCCAACGCTTGGAAAGACTTGCAGCCCGGTGAATATTTGCGCCCCAAGGCCTACGACAATCTCCTGCCACACTACAACACAGCAGTATGGCAATACGCTGTGAGTCTAGATGCATTGTGCTTTGGTAACACGGGCTCACCGTTTTGCAGACATACACAGTGCGGGAATGGAAGCAGCCACAGCCATTTGTGTACACTCCTCTGCATGGTGTAGGAGGCCTGGTATTCCCCAGCTTGTGCCGTTCCGTTGGTATCAAAGATTTCACTGTCGTCCCAGAACAAGAAGAACCGAACCCCGACTTTCCCACGGTAGCTTTTCCCAATCCCGAAGAGGTTGGAGCTTTGGATCTCGCAATGCGCACCGCGGACCGGGAGGGCAGAGAACTGATTATCGCACATGATCCGGATGCAGACCGCTTTGCGGCTGCTGAGAAGGTCAAGTATGTATCCGCTGCCTTTAAACAAAGGACCCCACTAACCAACTGCAGTGGATCGTGGTTCACTTTCACCGGAAACCATTTGGGAGTACTGCTTGCATCGCACTTGTTTGACTCCTTGGAGACTATCGACAGCGACACACGAATTGCCGTGCTGAAC